CCCCCCCAAAAAAATTAAAATTATTGACTCCATTTAGATCACTCAGAAGACGGGCTTTGACCCTGCCTAACATGGCCAGCCCCGACAGAGAAGGGTACATCCTAACAGAAAGAGTAAGATACTCGATAAAAATTCTCCCCACACTGGAATCGAACTCCGGTCTCTTGTGTGTGTCTAACCGCTACACGACAGATACTGGTACACCGGAAGGAAAGAGATGTGATCTGACATGAATCTCCCGCATTCTCTCTTCACCTAAGACAGTATCATTTAATTTCCATGTTCACAAGGCTGACATGGATCAGTATCAGAGGATGGCAATGTGTTCGTGCTCCCTTGATCGTCTTGAAAAGCATGAACCTCGATGATATTTGGTTCAGCGGCAAAGCCCATCTTTACCTTTCAGTTTCAGTATGTAAACTCCAAAATGCTGCCTATTGGGCACCCCATCCACGCCCCTATTATATCTAGAAGACACTTCGAAATGAAAAGTGTACAGTGAGCGGGATTTTAAGCTTTTATGGTTAAGCGGGTACTTGTGTTTGGCCACCACTGAACATAACGAACGACCCGTATAAAATGTTTCGAGTCCACGGGAAGACATAGAGCAAAGGCTCTCAAAGCATTCCAGAATAAATATTTTACTTTTTTGAAACTCTGTAAGAGAACAAGAGTATTGTTTAAATGTTACAGGGATGGACAACCAAATTTTAGAAATGTTAGAAAGAAAAGGCAGAAAAAAGCAAGCCAATCGGTTCATGACGCCCTTTACAACACATTTTGAATTGGTGCATTTTGCGTTCAGGCCTATGGGTGTTTTTTTTCTTTAATTAAGCCATTTTGTTTTCAAAACTATGTTTCATCTACATGAAAATTATGTCAAACAAATTCCTTTTGAATGAAGTACGACTGCTCCAAATTACTTTCTAGAACAATTTTTGAGCAAGTTATTCAGAAAAAAAGTTGTTAAGTTTTTTTTCGGATCACCCTGAAAATTGAAAACTAATTTCAATGTTTAAAAAAATTAGGCGACTAACGTGCACTAATAGTAGTAGCCTACTTTAAGCGACAAGCGCAACATGCAAAGAAAAGGAGAGATAAGTACGATATATTTGATAAGCCGGAAGAAGCATACACACCAGATCGAGAGGACCAGTTTTCGTCCCACAATTTTCAATCTGAATTTCGTCGAACCCGTTTTCGCAGCACCCGTTTTCGTCCTATATTGATTCAATTACTTATAGGTTACTGCAATTATCCAGCCCATTCCAAAATAGCTTTACCATGCGCGCAGACAATTCATTGTTCATAATCACATCAACAGGGAGGTGGAAGTAGGACTTCAAGCAGAATGAAGATTTGTACGAACAGTTTGCAGAATAAATCTCTTTGACAAAGCAGTTTAAATAAAAATCATCGTAATAAAACTCTTGTTAAAATTTGTTTTACATCCATGGCAAAACTTTGTACATTGTTTACAGAACTTAGTAAGTCTGCAATTGTCTCATGTGATGATAGATTGACGTTTCCAGCAAACAATAACCAATCAAGTACACCCGCATATCAGAGAGAGAGAGAGAGAGAG